ATCGTCCAGCCAATCTGCGAGATTTTGCAGATGTTGACAGTAGGCCGCCATGGTGGTGTTGCCTTTGACAGTGGTACGGAACTCGTGCTCCAGTTGCATGGCACGAGCATTCTTGTTGTCGTGAAACAGATCATGAATAACTTTCCAAAGAGCAGAAGCGGTGGAGACAGAAGAGATAACAAGATCTGAGACTTCGTCGGAGATGGTGGATAAGATCCATCCCTAGAGGAGAGCGTCGAGTTGGAGCCACTCATCATCGTCTTCAGAGAGAGGGACGATGGAGCCATTGATGTAGCCTTGGAGATTGAATCGGCGCACCAAGAGGAGGAAAAGGCGACTCCACTTTTTGTAGTTCGGTTGAGAGAGGCTGAGAAGAACCGGAACATGGAGTTTGACATTAGAGATCGTCGTGAAGGCAAGATGAGGGGTTTTTGCCGGACTGGAGTTGGAGGTAACCTCGCTTTCGGCCATTAGAGAGAAGAGAGAGCCGAAGGGAGAAGGGGGGGAGTGCCGCCGCTGGGGAACTGCCGACGTCGAAGGAGGGACGGCGGGGCGGCGCTGTGACTGCCGCGAGGGAGAGAGAGAGCCGAGAAGTAGGGTTAGGGTTTTTTTTTGTTTAATTAGGCTTCGATACCATGAAGAATTATGATTTTCATTAATTGAAAGAGTTGTGATTACATGTATATATATAAGGGGAGTCTCAATCCTAATCAAAGTAGGAGAGACACAAGTAAGGAAACCTATACAAATAAGGTAAAGGAATAATACAATATATTAAATATATACAATATATTTAACAATAATAACCTCTTCTTTTGTACATACAGGGTATTTTTTCTAAATTCGCAATAGCTATAAATTCATTTTATACAGAGCATATTTTCTAAATTACGCAATAGCTATAAATTCATTATTTTTCGATTAAAATTAATCCAATATACTGTGATTATTACTTGTATTGAGCCATGCTAGGGGTACACCAAATGTGTACCCATTTGTCTCCCACCCCCTTCTCCACCATTCATTTTTATCTACTTTTTATTTATTTAATTTTTTTTTAAATTTTTGCCCATTTTTGTGGTAATGGAGGGGGTGAGGGACAAATGGGGTACACCAATTGGTGTACCCCTAGCATTTTTCTACTTGTATTATATATTTATATGCTTAGGTCTTTGAAAAACTAGTTGTGCCACCTCTCAATGTTTGAAAAACTCTACACATAGAAAAACCGACGTGTTACATTACCCCTTGATAATCTTGTATACAACACTTGATCCATTTTATTTTAATAAACTTTAATTATCAAATACTCTCAATTTGTATTACATATTAATATAATTGAGTAAATTTTTAAAAGTTCTAAACAAATTATATTTATTAAAATCATTTTTAAACTAATATGTATTTTAGTTTTTACTCAATTTATGTTCAAAATTCAACCAGTTTGACTTGAAAAAATTAAATTGGACGAAGACTTTGGGACTATAAAATTAGCACTCCCTCCGTCCCGTTTTAAATCACCTGTTTTGACTTTTTGGCATATTTAAGAAAAAGAAAAAATAGAGTTAATTTTTCAAAATTGTCATTACTTTTTAGGAAGGGTGACGATGAATGAGAAGATAAGGTGGAGAAGAGTGACTTATTTTTGTTAAAGAGCATCCCACATCGGAAAAGTGTGAGAAAATTAATTGATATATAAGCTCTTGAGTTGAACTAACTAATCGATTGGATTCAATCTTTTAATGTGGTTCGACCCAAGTGTCTTATTGTCCAATTAAGTTATTTTTACCCAATCCTAAATTCTATCATGGTATCAGAGCCAGGTTTTGGCCCACCTCGTTTGTCAAGGTGTCCGTCTAGACGTTCATTCCTAGCGGCCCGTTTGTCTTTAGCCCAGTATTCCGTATGGAGTATGTACCCAACGGCCTGTGGCCCGTTTAACATGATTGCTCGTCTGGGAGTCCATATCCAGTGGCTCGTGGTCCTTTAGGTGTTGGCTCAAAAAAAGTCAAGGAAATGGGAGTTCATTTGCATGTGGTCAACCAGTTAGATTCAAAATGGCCCGGTTGTCCACTTGAGGGGAAGTGTTAAAGAGCATCCCACATTAGAAAAGTGTGAGGAAATTAATTGGTATATAAGCTCTTGAGTTGAACTAACTAATAGATTGGATTCAATCTTTTAATGTGGTTCAACCCAAGTGTATTATTGCCCAATCCAGTTATCTCTACCCAATCCTAAATTCTATCAATTTTAAGGGTAGTTTAGGTATTTTACTATTAAAAGTGTACGATAACAAGTAACATGCAATTTATTTTGGGACGGAGAAAAAAGGCAAACAACAAGCAATTTAAAATGTGACAGAAAGTAATAAAATAAGCCAACAGAGTGAATTAAGTTTGATTATAGCCATCAAAAATGTCTGAGAAGGTTTATAAAGAAAAATATACTCCGTATGATAGACGATGGGAGTGATATACCAATAGTGTCAATTTTGATTTCAACAATCTTACGGAATATACCTTATTTGAAAATAACGTTTTGATTATTTTAGTACCTGGAGTATTTCAAAAAAAAACTTTTATTTTAAATTCATTTTTAAGAAATGCTATACCTAAATTTTATCATTAGATATTCTTTTAAAAATCAATAAGCTAAATGCTGAAGTTGTTCGCAAACACACTCTTATATACACGTGTCCTAATCTGGAACAAAGTAGTCGTCGTCGTCAACACTGCCACGCAAACATGAGAAGCGTAAATTTCGGAGAATCTCGCGGGCGACCTCGTCCGCAACGTGGCAGGTCACGAACATTTTCCATCCATACGTTTGAGCAAATAAAAATAAAAAAATAAAAAAAGTAGGCGGGCGGGCCCACCTGTCGCGGTCACCCAATCCTGTCCGGGACGCAAACGGATAAGGACGTGGAGTCCCCCGGGTATGGGGAGAATGGATTGCCCGAAACCGGAAATCGGGTGGACTGGGTTGGGCCTCGGAATTGACAGTTCGGGCGGGTCGGAATCTGGCACCTCTAGGCCCGTTTGGAGAGTGATATTACACGCGTGCAGTCAGAGTCGTGGGCCCCCAATTATGAATTGGGCCACGTGCATTTCCATGCATGTTTCAACTGTGATCGGACCCAATTGGTCGTTGGTGGGTGTTCATTAATTTCAAGGCATTATTTAATCGGTTGGGTTCTAGAGCTACCCAATTTGGATTTCAAAATAAATTAATTGATGGATAAGAGGAATGAGTTGGACTCCAGACTGAGTGGGGAGAGGGGATTACCGAAGAGTTTAAGAAGATAAGAACAATTAATTATAGGAATAGAGCACTGTATGTGTTCTAATTGGGTGAGTGACTTCCGTAACAACTCTTTTTGAGTGGCTCTAGAACCTAGCCGTTAATTAATTATTTAAATCTTGATATCTCCCATCACTCTCGGCCTTTTTTATATTTTTAAATTTGGTCATTATAGGATACATCAAAATACAGACTCTATTTGTACATCGGACAAATACAGACACTAAATGTTTGTGATCATATATATTAAGTGCTTATGTTTGTCAATCTTATTTGAAATAAAAAAATAAACGAAAATTGTCGATAAAGGGGACAACTAATCAAATTTTTTCTCAATCTGTCAAAATTAATCTAACATCATGTTTTCTCACTACTAAACTGTGTCCGACGAAAAGCTTCCCTTGTTCTCTTTCTCTCATTCTAAAAATATTTTTTTATATTCTTTTTCCATTTATCTACACGTATTGACATTTTATGAAAGTGAAACATACTCTTTCCGTTTCAAAATGTTAGCAACATTTCAAACGACGTATAAAATATCATTATCTCTTTTAAAATTATTTTATTTACAAATTAGCAGAGAAATAGAAAATACACTACTCAGTAATAGATCTAAAGTTCTACAAAACAAAATGCGACAAAAATATTTTACATGAAATAATGAAGTATTCATTGTATATAGGACAGAAAAAGTAATTTTTTATGGAATATGAAGTATTCATTGTATATAGGACATAAGAATACAAAAAAAAAGATTAGAATAACTCAATAAGATGCATTAACTATTTAGATGAAAAAACACGGTGTGTACACTTATTGTATTTGGGGACATTCGGTGCTAATTGGATATTTTAATAAAACTAGTAGCAGACTAGCAGCTTTTCTAGGCCTTGTTTGGAAAGAACGTTTTGAATTAGCATTAGCGTTTTGGATAAAATATTAATGGTATAGATTAATTCAAAAACTCTAATGCTAAAGGCTACTGATAGATAACCTTTTCAAAATGCTAACGCTAATATCTAACATTGATGACAAACGGGGTCTAAATGTTGAGTTCATTATACAACTTATAATTCAAGGCTATTTTGTTCAAAGAAAATGCAATGTAAGATATTAATTTTTTTCCCATAATGTATAATTACAAATAGATTATTTTATGAAAAATAAAGAAGCTATTTTGTAAAATTCAATAAAATAATTTAAAAAATACTCCGTATAATGAAATATATGTTAATCTCATTTTAAATAAATATAATTATGAAATATTACGAAATTACTAAGAGAAATCAGGAAATATATATTAGTATTTCTCGTTTTTTTCCATCCCATTTTATTTTACTTTATGTTTTGTTTTTATTAGGAATTTACCTAAATAGTGCTAAAATATTGTGAGTTTCTTAATGTAGTACCATATGTTTTTATTTTTTCAATGTAGTACCGCTGGTCATTGTTCAAGTAAATATTAACCGTCACTAGACGTTGTAAAATTAAATGTCTACCATCATTGGACATTGTTCCCGCAATTTGACATTATTTTTAGTGAATAAAAAAATTTAACTACTAAACCAAATTTCACTTTTTGTGGATGAAATTATCAAAACCAAAAACTCCCGTCTAAACCTAATCGCTGCTCCCTGCCCGAGTACCACTCTCCAATCTCCCTCCCGACTCAGCCGGATAGGCCGCCACCCGCCGCTCCGCGCCTCTCTGCCTGGCCGCCTCTGAGCTCCGCGTTTTCCGCCCGGTGTCAATATCTCGCCCCGGCGCGCAGGCTCAGTAGCCCAGTCCGCCACCGCCCACCGGTCCACCGCGGCACACCGGCATCGCGAGCCTCCAGGTTTTTTTGTTTTGAACTTGTTAATTTATAATCCATTATCCATCTTTTATAATTTATGGTTTGTAATTTTTTATCCATTTTCCCGGTTTTTGTCTAATGAAATTGTCATTGTGATACTGTTAGTGCAAGTGACTGAGTGTAGGTTAAGGACTATCTGTTTAGTTTTTTTTAAAATTTATTTAGTGATGTAAAATACGGAGAATTAAGTAAAGTTAGTTTATAAAATTTTTAATTGATTGAATTTAAATTCAGGATGAGAGGGCATTTAAAATTAGAAACTTTGTGAAGAATGAGTTTCGGAACAAATTTGTGACCAGTGTTTAAATGATGGACTAGTGACATCCATAGAGAGAGATATTCACTACCATTTGCGATGATGTTATAATAGATCACTTCTAAAATATGAAAAGTAGATGCTATGGATTGTTTGATGTAGTTTATATCCAAAATATAAGGTTGTTATTGATTTTAAATTAATTTTAGATTATATGCTTATTTTATATGCAACCTTTAATCTTATACCGGAGTAATTTACAAGTACTTTTTTATGTAGTGTATGACATGTGACATGTTGATACACATTTCATAATGGGGGTTCCATTACTCAAAGCTTCTGGGTCCTGGCACACGGATTTTAAGAAAAATGATGGAAACAAAAAGTATGTGGTTAAAATTTACAGAGTATTTGAATAAGAGAAACGACTGGAACAAACCAAAAATAAAACTGTTTTACATATTTTGGGACAGTCAGAGCAATATTACGCGCATTTAGATACATTTCACAACTCAAGTCTTAAATTATACACCCTGTATCTTGGTGTGTTTGTCTAGTTTAACTTTCTGCTGTTAAACTAGATGAATTTTGATCTATCAATAAAAAAATTATTTAAATATTGATAAAGTAAAATAATGTAGTGAGGTGGCACGAGAGAATGGAGAAGGTGGTGAGAAAGAAGAGAGAAAAATCTGCGTGGATGAGAAATTAGGTTTTAGTTAAGTTTTAACTGTATTTAGAGGATAGAAACTTAGATGTCCTATTCTAGGTATTACTTCTATATATCTTTTTTCTAGTTAGGTAGTGATATGGGTAAACCCGGGTTTGACTTTTGACTTTGGGAAATATGAAATATGGGTAAACTCGGGTTCAACTCTTAACTTATGGAAATATGAAATATGGGTAAACCCGGGTTTGAGTTGCGCTTTCCAGGGGCATGTCCCACTTCTTATTGACCAGTCTGAGATTATAGCTCGATTCATCTCCCGCCCGCTTATTGTCCAGCCGGTACGAGGGTTGGGGTTCAGCATTTTTTGAAGGAAACTGACAAATTTTGTTCAATATCTAACATCCACAGGTTGTCTTGATGAATACGTTGGCAAAGAATCAATCTTTATTGGCTAATAAACTTATTCCCCTGTTGTCGACCCACAATGATCTCACCATTACACATTTGAAGCAAATCCACTCACAAATCATCTCCAATGGATGTCTCAATTCTACCGAGCTTCTCACTAGCTTCATTTTCTCATGTTATAACTCTCAAAACACTAAGTATGCAGAGCTCATTTTGCATAGTCTTCCAACTTCCGTTCCGTTGGTATGGAATTCGATGATTCGGGTATCTCTTGACTCACAGAACCTTAAAGATTTCTTGGATATCTATCATTGGTCGAGGCTTTACGGGTTCTTCCCTAACAAAAGCACCACCTCTTTGATTTTACGTTTTTGTGCTCGTTTCGGTGCGTCCCAGTTAGGGAAATCCTTTCACTGTCAGATAGTGAAAATGGGGTTTCAATTTGATGTGGTTCTGCAGACTGGGTTGCTCGACTTTTATTCAAAGATTGGGGACCTGAGATTGGCTCGGAGGGTGTTTAACGAAATGTCTGAAATAGATGTCATTGCAAATAATGTTATGATTTCAGCTCTAAGTAAACACGGGTTTTTTGATGAGGCAAAGCAGCTGTTTGAGAGTATGCCCGAGAAGAATGCTTCGTCGTGGAATTTGCTGATCACTGGTTACTGCAAAGCGGGTGACGTGGAATCTGCGCGCTCTGTCTTTGATCGGAACCCATCAAAGGACGTAATTTCTTGGAATGCAATGATTGATGGATATTGTAAGTCAGAACAGTTGGTTTATGCAGAGGAGATGTTTACAAAGTTAGGTTCTTCTAGAACTGCTGTGAGCTGGAATACAATGATTGCTGGGTATGTGCAGTGTAGGGAGTTTGCCAGAGCTATAAACTTGTTTCAGGAAATGCTAAACGAGAAGGTGAAACCAACTGAGGTGACAATGATCAGTTTGCTGTCTGCATGTGCTCATATCGGAGCATTAGATATGGGCGAATGGGTTCATGCCTACATCAACAAAAATAGATTTAGGGTTGATGCCGTTTTAGGCAATGCTCTTATAGACATGTACTGCAGATGTGGAAACATGGAAGCAGCTCTTGATGTTTTTCATGGCCTCCATACTAGGAATACATTTTGTTGGAATTCCATCATCGTGGGTCTAGGAATGTATGGCTATGGAAGTGAGGCCATAGATGCTTTTAACGCAATGCAAAAGGAAGGTACTATAAAGCCCGATCGGGTCACTTTTCTAGGGCTTCTATGTGCTTGTAGCCATTCTGGCTTGGTTTCTGCCGGCAAAAGCTATTTCTCTCAAATGAAGAGTTCTTATGGAATTGAACCTGGAATTGAACATTATGGATCAATGGTTGACCTTTTAGGCCGATCCGGACTTCTAGAAGAAGCAATGGAACTCATAAAAACCATGCCTATGAAACCAAATGTTGTTGTTTGGGGAAGCTTGCTCCGAGCATGTCACGTTCACAAGAACAGTGAACTCGGTGAACAAGTTACCCAGCATCTCTTGGACTTGGATCCGCACGATGGAGCAAACTATGTTTTTTTGTCCAACCTCTATGCTTCCTTAAACCGATGGACCGATGTTGCCATGTGTCGGAAGTTGATGAATGAGAGGGGGGTGTTAAAGATGCCGGGATGCAGTTCGATCGAAGTTGACAATATATTGCACGAATTTGTAGCTGGTGACACTTCGCATCCTCAGTTTCCTCAAATCAATGCATTGTTGGATAAGATTGCCAAGGATCTGCAGGCTAATGGTTATGAACCGGATACATCATCCGTGCTGCATGACATTGATGATGAGGAAAAGGAGGATGTGATTAGATACCACACAGAGAGAATTGCTGTGGCTTTTGGTCTGTTGAATACACTGCCTGGAAAAACAATCCGCATTGTTAAGAACCTGAGAACGTGTGGTGATTGTCATGTGGCCTTGAAATTTATTTCAAAATTATACAAGAGAGAGATAGTGGTGAGAGATAGGAACAGATTTCATCACTTCAGGGAAGGGCATTGTTCTTGCAAGGATTATTGGTGATTTAACAAGGTTTGTTTTTGTGCGTTAATTTTTAAATTGCTTTTCTTTGTTTAACATAAACATATTCTGCATTTTTTCTTCTTTAAAATAACGGAATCGATTTTTAAGAATTAGCCATGGATTTCTTTTGTGTCATTGCATTGCACATGGAATCGATTTGTGCAAAGCACCTGTGTTGCAGTATCTGTTCTTTCTTGCTCAGGTTTTCTTATTGTCTACGGTACATATAAACAGTTATGCTGACATGCTGTCTAGAATCCTCACTTCACAGACAAAGCATAAAAGTGGGATACTATCATCGATCCTTTTATATATTTTTCAATTCATATGGTACTCCGTATTTCAGATTTGACAGGCAATGTCTTCTCTAAGTAACGATTCACTTTTTTGGGACAACCATCACAACCCCTTATGTTCTTCCACCACAGGCTGAATGTTTCACTTTCGACGGATGATCCTTTGCAAATTCATCTGACGAAAGAGCCTCTAGTGGAAGAATACAGCATTGCAGCGAAGGTCAGTCTATATGATATACGTAGTATAAATTTTCTGTCAAAAGAGAACATCAATGGTTTACCTTGCTGAGTTGTGTTAATTTTTCCAGGTTTGGAAGACAAATTTGTGCGACCTTTGTGAGATAAGATAGCGAGGAGTTCTGTTTACCAGTCTGGATTTTCTCATGATGATGACAAGGTATGTGTCCCTTCTCCAGATTATGGAAGGGCCGGTTTGGTTGGTTATTTCACTAATGAGTTTTTTTTTAAGTAATAGCCTTTGGTAACATCAGCATTAGCCAAATAACTTAAACAAGCAAAGCAAGACGGTTAAATTATGGCAAATAATGACTACCAAATGGAGCCTAATAATCTTTGTCAATTTCCATTTTCTTTAATAATTACACAAGCGGAAGGGCAACAAGCCGATAATCGAGGCAGCACAGTCCATTCAAATGGACCTCGGAGGAAGAATCATTGTTTGCCTCTGCTTGGGTTGATGTTTTCGAGCAACCTATCGTTGGTAAACTTTATTTGTTTTTCAATATATATATATATATATATATATATATATATATATATATGTTATTTTTATATTTTGTATTAAAATGTTTTTTTTCCTTCAATTATATATTTCTTAGAGGTTCCGAGCAAACGAAAGATGCGATGTGGGATTCGTTTCGAGTAGAAGTTCTTTGCGGCGATGAACAAGGATGTCTCCTACTGAACGCGAGACTAACTCACTTCCAAATGGGGCCACATCAACCGTAAAGTCCAAAAGTTTATCGGAGTTTACGAGGAATGCTCTCGGTTGCGGAAGAGCAGGACGAACAATGTTGATGTTCTGCGACAAGCCACCACCCGCTATCAAGACGACGGACACCAAGGCAAGGTCCCCGTCGATCTTTAGTGAATTTTAAGTCATTCACCGAAATGGCAACAACTCAACAACCCCGAGATCAAATCGTCAAAGAAAAGATCCTCCGCCAGGTTGAGGCAAATGAGACTATTGTTTCTTTGGAACAAAAGCCTTCCTTCATTCTAGACGACTCCGGTGACGAGAACCCCATTCTACGACCAATCATAAGGAAGAAGGCAAAATACATTGTCTCGAGTTCTGGAGGATCCGACTTTGTTTCCTCTCACGACAAAATCGTCCGGGCAATGATTAAACAACTGCGGGTGTTCAATATTAGGGAAGAAGAGAAAGAGAAACGAAGGCAAGAGAAGGAAGAGATCGAAATAATGGAAACCGACATTGATACGTTATCGAGCTTCAAACATATGTTTTTTGAGAGAAGACAAAAAGAGATGAAGACTAAATATAATTTGCCTTAGTTTCTTTATTAATATTTTTTTAATAAAATGTTTGTTTTTTATTGAATGTTATTTTATATTTATTATTATTTTTATTTAATGTAATTTTTTCATTTAATGAATAATTGTTATTTAATTAAAATGAAGTTTTATTTAATTTAATTTTAGAAGATATGTATTTAAGATGTAAAAAATAAAACTTTGAAGTCTCGAGACTTCAAACTCATTTTCAAAGAAAATGTGAGAGTGTAGATAAATTAAAGATGTGGTGACAGAGAATTTTTGAAATCTCGGACTTCAGGTGTATTATCAGTGCTCTAAGAGTCTACGGTCAAATCTTATATGGAATTAAAATTCTATTCTTTAAGGGGTATTTATTTTTTATAATGGGTTCAACATTATTTACCAGCAAAAAAGAAGAAAAACCCAAAGACAATAATGGGTCGAAAGAGAGACCAATCCCGCCCCGTTCCGTACTCCACTAAACGCCGGCTCCCTCTCCCACCGCCACCCGATGACGCGGCCAGTACAGCTGCCGCAATCGACGATCTTTTCCCTGAAACTCCCCGGGCTTCTTCGAAACCACCAGCGACGGTGGTTATTCTTGGGATTCCGGCGGAGTGTTCAGTCCTAGACCTAAAGTCACGGTTCGAGATCTACGGCGCAATCTCCCGCACCCGCATGGACCCCGCCGGACTCGCCCATATAACTTTCCGGTCCAGAGACTCTGCTGAGTCCGCCGTGCACGCCGCTTTCCCGATTACCCTCCATTCAAAACCAGTAAGTATTCCCTCATTCCCAATTCCCAATTCCTAACAAAAAAAATCTAATTTGATGATTTTATCATCTGTAATGTCTCGTTTGGTATACAATGAAGAAGAAATGGGATTTAAAATTGAAGACTACTAAAATTAAGTTCAATTGAAAATGCCCTAAATGAGCCATTCCCACTTGTGAATTGTGATATTTCCAAATGCATAAAAATCAAATCTTGTTATGTTAACTAACCCAAAACTCATAAAAATTGTCTTGTTGAGTTCTTTTTTATTAAGGCATTTGATTCATTTCTTTCCTCGGTGATCGTTAGGTGCAAGTGATGTGGGCAAGTGATGATCTGGCGCTGCAATGGAGGAAGGAAGGGGTGTCTAAAAAAGAAGGGAAAATGGAGGTTTTGTCAAAGCTGGTTAGAGCAGAGGTGCCCTTAAGTAGGCATGGGAGAGGGAACAAGAGGATGGGGTCTGCAATTGCTAGCCCTAAAGATGAGAATATTGCTAAGAGTTACACCAACAAGAAACAAGGTGGGATTGCTTTGAGGTTGGGGGTTCCTTTCAAGGGCAGGAAGCTTGTCACCTATGACGACATTCTTTAAGGTGTCATGCTACAACGACACTAATTTTGACGCCACGAACAATTGGGTTGTACGTGTGAACAAATTCGAATTCATAGTAACATTGTTCTTCTTTACGTTAGATGTTGTCACGTCGCTACTGATGGTTATAGGGGGGTTAAAGTTATATCGTGGTTCTTAACTTATGGTTATAATGTAATCAGTAGTGTTGCTTTTGAAGTTAAGACCTAAATTTTATGTGGGTTCCTTGAAAAAATGACAAGTTTATGTTCTTTTTGGTTTGCAGTGTGTGATGTTTCCTTTGTGAAATTGTTTTGGTTTTGATGTTTCTTTAAAGGAGTTTGTGTTCCTACATTTACTGTGATAAATTGTTGAAAACTTGACACCATACCATCCAAATGTTGACACTTAGGCCATGTTTGGTACATGGAATTCAAACCATGGAATTGGAATTGAAGACTTCAATTCTAATTCTGGTGTTTGGTAGCACAAAAATTATGTGGATTTAGAATTGATGGTGCAAAAAATGAATTGGAATTGGCAAAATTCAATTCTATGGAATTGAATTCCATGGAATTTCAATTCCAATTCAATTCTAATTTTGTCAATTTCGTATACCAAACGGACCCTTAAGACTCAGGAGTTCCAGTTGATCTTACTTTTTTTTGAGGGAATTATAGTGTACTTTTGATCCAAAGAGTATTGGATAATTTGGATTGAACTCAATGATACTCAGCACTAAACTGGAATGAAATAAAAATAATGCTATAATACGCAATTTGGTCGATCCGTACTTGATGACATAAGATCATGAATATGCAATTTCAAAAAATGCAAACTTACTCGAACTAGATGTAATCCAAAATAATTGAACTCGAACTTAATTTGACCAATCGATTGTCAGCTTTAGATTTAGATGCTACCAGTACACTCTTTTTGTCCTTAAATGAAGTTCCATGTTTGAACGGCGTGCAAAATTCCGTGACTTTTGAAATGATTTTATTTAGAAATTGGTATAAAAATAAAAAAAAATAAAACTTACATATTTTAAATATACATTAACAATTCTAGAGGACAAAATAAGATGTGACTGAAATATTTTTATTTCATCAAATTATTAATAAAAACATGCAAAAAATGAAAGTAATCAAAAGACCATAATAGTGAAGAGGCAAGTCATTTTGGACCGAGAGATTATACTCCCTCCGTCCCTAAATATATCTCACATTTGTTTTTTCAGCAGTTGCGAGAACTTTTGTTTATTTCTACGTTTTCATTGGTTATTTGATAAAATAAAATATTCTTGACACCTCTTATTTCGAAGAACTATTCATGTAGTTTTTTGATATGTAAATTTTATTTTTTATTTCTATACCAATATGCAAATAAAATAAATTGAAAAAACTTAATATTTTACCTCGGTAATAGAAATGTAAGATATATTTAGCAATGGAGGGAGTAAAATTTAGATTTGAAATTAAGCCTATATTTAGGGACGGAGGGAGTAAAATTTAGATTTGAAATTAAGCCTTTCCTTTTTTTAACTACTTTCCCATTCAGGAAAAAGAAGATTCTAGGGATATGTGGTGCTACACCAAGATTCTAGGGGTATTCTGTTCTTAAAATTGACGATTCCTACCCCGGTAAACCTCCATCCCGCCCGACCCGAACACACCCCTGCCCAAACCTTAAACCCAACCTTTCGTTAGATATTGGCAACCGGGCCCATTATATATCCTCCATGTGCGACTGTGCGGGTGAAAGATCACTGTATCAGGGGAGGACTCAGCAGCTTCCAACCATATCAGTTCCCCGTTGCCGAGAAACGCGCGCGAGCAGAGAAGATGGACGCGTCGCCGTCGTCGTTTTCGTCATCGTCGCCGGCGCCGGCTTCGAAAGTACACCTAGCTCTCGCAGCGTTCTTCGGCGCGTCGGTGATGGCAATCTCCGCCTTCTACATCCACAAGCGCAGCGTCGACCAAGCTCTCGATCGCATAATCAACCTCCTCCGCCGCCAGCCTCCGTTCCCCTCGGCCGAATCTGTTCCGGAATCCGGCTCAGAAACCGAAGAAGTAATTGATATCTTATTAAATGACAGGAATTTCCACAGCCGTCATAATCTATCGGAAACTGCTCCTGTTCAGAACGGAGCCGTTTACCATTGCGGCGATAAGGTGTTGAGGAAATACAGAGTTTCATCTTCTATGCCTAACACCGGTCTTTCGAACCAGTGGATTGACGGGGACGCGAATTCCGATGGGCCGTTGGAGACCACTGAAATGATGGAGCTCAATACGCAGGCACCTTCGGATTTGCCCTCTCTAAGAACGAATCGCCCAGAAGGTATGTACCCGTTTTTTCAGCTCCATTCAAATGAAACACCAAGATCATTTTGCACTCCTGCAATTGCTTGTGACCTGTTGGCTCCATGACTTGTGCTCTCACACAGCTTTTAATGTAATAGAGGGAATACATTTTTTGAACTCATCCTAGTAAATGGACCTTTGAGATATGGGAAGTTTTTAAAGGGAATGAGGCACACAGTCTTCTTTTCTCACACAGTGACGGTAGATGATTGGGCTTCCATATTTAACTTTTGAGCTTCATATGACAAACTGTTGTATGCATGACTAATAAACTCTTCTTTTTTGGATAAGAGTGGATTTTTTAATCTCTTAGGTGTAAGACTAATTGAACTTCTTCCATGATAATAATGGATTTTAGAATCTTTCTTGAGATGATAACCTTTAAACTATGTAACTCAGTATTCAATAGATTCTGCCTACTCATTGAGATCTACTCCGTATAATGCAAATCTCTAGCAATACTCAGTAGTATATTTGTTTTGGCAAATTGAGAGAGTGCATGTTTCTATGTTAAAGTGTTAGTTGTGGCAGCAAGCAGTTGCCTGATTGCCTTGCTTTTGAGCAAATCAGAAGTTTATTTTTTGTTTCGTAGGCCATCTCGAATGAAACCCTATACCATCAAAAATCTGGTGTTATGACATAGACCTGCTCCAATGCAATTGTATTTCACTGAGCCAAACTGGAGTAATTCATATTAAAGCTATTTGTAGCTCTGAAATTATTCCTTCAGAAAATACCCATGGCTTTAAGTGCATGGATGGTGTTCATAATTATTAATGTGTGAATGTTATTGATTCTTCCAAGTGCAATCTTCAGTTTACTAGCTTTAATAGTTTGAGATTGGAAGATGTGCCTCAAAGGTATTGTTGTCAGTAGTTTTATGCAACTGTGTGGTATGATATGTAATTTTGTATACTGTATTATCTGCACTGACCCAACTCTTTATTTTTATTGTACAGGAGAAAACCAATACAATGATGGTTTTGATATGAAGGTACATGTTAAGTCTGCTGGTAGGCAAATGACTCCAAAAACCTCTATTTCAAACACATTGGAGGGTGATCTCCATGATGAAGAAGATGAGTTCCTTCAAGAAGATATGGAAATCATTCATGATGATGTAAGTTTTTGAGCCAAGTTGAGAAGGCTATGTGATATTTGATGATGTGATTGCCTTATGTATGGTCACATTTATTGAAAGTGGATAGTTGCAGCGTAAGTCGATAACTGATGTTTTAAGAATGTGTATGACGAAATGATAGTGTTTGAGATGTCAATCTTATATGGAGTATTATTTATTTCAGTTATTTGTCTATACAGTTCATGGCTCACAATGCTACACATTATATGAGCGGTCTCCAAGAAAAAGCCTATATAAAACTATAAAACTGATGCACATGTGTGTTTGGTGTGTATTTTATTCGCCATAAATGTAAATGGTATCTGATCAGCTTCAGAAGCCCCATGTCTTATGCTGGCTTGTAATATAAACTTGTAGAATTATTAATTTGTGTATCCATACGTGAAAATGAAAACTTACTACGGAGTATAATCCATATTGAGTTACTTATTTCTTCCAGACTGTTACTCATACTTGAAGCTTATTTGTCCAGATATTTATGAAACAACAAATATTACAAGATGAGAATTCCTTTTCAGGATATCATTCCAAATGTCCAAAATAAATTAATCACTCAGTCTCAAGCAGAAAATGGCATTCATCATCATGGTCAGCCACATAAAACAGTTGCAGATGAAGGAAAACCCAATGTTGACCATCATGATAGAAAGGCGGATTCAAGTCTAGGACACATTAAGGCCACCAACCACATCTTTAGTGGTATCTTACCCCAGGTGACTACAACGAATGGTATGTTTTTATTTATTAATTTTTCAACATGCAATTTTAATATGCATGGACATATGGTCAATACAAATTAGTGGCATTACACGGGTTTTTTATCTATAAAAATAGAAATTCATGTTCCCATTTTGTAATAATATGTTTTGGTTTAGGTTAGCAAAATGTTTCATCCTCTAACTCATCAAATTTCTGAAACTAGAGACAATTAACATTGAAGAGGAAGAGGTTTTGAAGATGATCCGTGAATGTTTAGATTTGAGGCAAAGGTATATTTTCAAAGAAAGTACTGTTCCATGGATGAGGGCAGCAGATGGCGAACCAAATGTAAAAAAGAACCCGTTTCAATTTGTTCCTCGTGAAGCAACTGGTGTGAGTTTCACTTCAACTCATCAAGGGCTATAGTTGGTCTGACTTCTACATTTTAAATTGTTTTATGGTATGCTATGTTAAGGCAGGCCCTCACCTCAAACGTTTTCCACTGATGGAGTTTCTTGGATTTGCATACAGCACTATTTTAAGATGGTTGATGGAGTAGTTCGTGTTTATGCTAGTGAAAATGGTTAGCCTTTTTTTGGATCTTAGTAATCAAATGATTACTGTACTCATGTTTTGCATACCAAGTGGCACTTGAGCATTTGTTGTTTTTGTTTTTATTTGACTTTTTAGATACTGAAGAACTTTTCCCTGTTGCAAATTCAACAACGTTTTTCACTGACATGCACTATCTCCTAAAAGTGATGGCTGCTGGCAGTGTCCGTTCTGCTTGCCATCACAGGTTGCGATTGCTGGAGGAGGTAGTACTCTATAAGAATTGTCTTAGATTATTGAACATGCATTTCCCATTGTTGATTTTTTAAAATTTACATGTAACTATGACAGAAATTTCGGCTCCATTTGCTGGTAAATGCTGATAGGGAATTTTTAGCACAAAAGAGTGCACCTCATCGTGATTTCTACAATATCAGAAAAGTTGATACACATGTACATCATTCTGCTTGTATGAACCAGAAGCATCTCCTCCGGTTCATAAAGTTAAAACTAGAAAAAGAACCTGATGAGGTATTACAGACAATCATTTTCGGTTTGCTTGGCCTTATAAAATAACAATCGACATATCATTATCAGTGTTTGTCATCTGGAAACTTAATCTATTGCTACTTGTTGAATAGGTTGTTATATTCCGTGATGGGCGGTATCTCACGCTAAAAGAAGTCTTTGAGAGTTTGGACTTAACAGGGTTTGTATAGTTTGGCTGAGAGCTCTCTAATCCTTGTCACACTGGAAAGTTGGGGCTCCATTTTCTTTCAGGTTCCCTGCTTATATGCTCTTATTGTTGCAGGCATGATCTTAACGTTGATTTGCTGGATGTTCACGCTGATAAAAGTACATTTCATCGTTTTGACAAATTTAACCTCAAATATAATCCTTGTGGTCAAAGCAGACTCAGAGAGATCTTTCTGAAGCAGGACAACCTTATACAAGGTCTGGTTTTGAATGATGCGAAATTAAACTGCTCAATATAATCCTTTTGGTTAATTCTAATATTTTATGTTTTTATTTCAGGTCGTTTCCTAGGCGAAGTGACAAAGGAAGTCTTGTCAGATCTCGAAGCAAGTAAATACCAGGTGCGGATATATACATTATTTGGGAATTGTTAGAATATAAGAAACATTTCTTTGGCCATAACCACAAGCTTGTGCTTTTGGTTGAATCGGTTCCTTGACATGGTATCGGAGCCTTGTTGACTAAGAGGTCACATGTTCGAAACTCAACGCCACCTAATTTTAAAAAAATTAAGGTTTCACGTGCAAAGCTCGAAAAAAATACTACGCTTGCACGTGAGGGGGCGTGTTAGAATATAAGAAACATTTCCTGGGCCTCAACCACAAGCTTGAGCTTTTGGTTGATTTGGTTCTTTGACAGTACTCTTTTTGTCTTCTGCAATGTTGACCCATGGTGTTACAACCATGGCACTATCTTTGTCTTTTTTTACCTTTTTCATATTTGTGTGGTCTAAACTCATCATTTATCTATACTTTTCATATTGAATGTCAACCACACATTTGCACTTTTTCTTATGTTCCGTGCCAACACCCCATGCCCCAAACTTAGTGGGACGGATGGAGTAATTTTTAGTATCTACCTGTATATCTTAAAAGTTCACACCTAAATCGTTTCTTTGTTCCAGATGGCTGAATATAGAATATCTGTTTATGGAAGGAAACAAAGTGAATGGGATCAATTAGCTAGTTGGTTCGTAAACAATTCGATTTATAGTGAGAATGCTGTTTGGTTAATTCAGGTAAGTTGCTGATACATCATACATCACCTCATGAATAGTTTCTATTTAAATAATAAATCCTCTAGATCCTGACAATTTTTTGTAAAATTCTTTTGCTGTCTGGGTTGCCTGGGCTCATCATCCTTCACTTAGTGACTCATTGTTGGTCTGTCTTGATGAGTATTGCAGTTACCACGTCTATACAATATCTACAGAAGCATGGGAACTGTTACATCCTTCCAGAATATTTTGGATAACTTATTCATTCCTCTATTTGAAGTCACTGTCAACCCAAATTCACATCCTCAATTGCACTTATTCCTAATGCAGGTTATGTTAATGTTATTAATTGCTAATAATTGCTTATTTTGCTTTTCGATCCAGTGGGTACTCTTCCCTAAAATAAAAAATCAGTATGTACCCCAGCAGCAGCTTTATGGGAGAATTCCTTTATGGTAATAGCCTGAATGATTTTTTTCCCCATTTCATTGTATACAGGTTGTCGGTTTTGACATTGTTGATGATGAAAGTAAACCGGAAAGACGACCTACTAAACACATGCCAACCCCAACTGAATGGACAAATGAGTTTAATCCTGCATTTTCCTATTATGCTTACTACTGTTATGCAAACTTGTACACGCTCAATAAGGTGAGCTGGGCTTCCTAACTAGAAAGTGGGCTTGCTGATATTCACAATTGCATTTTGCACTATTGCAATATTTATTAGGAGTACTTATTATTCTGGTGTACATTGGCTGGGGGTGGCAACTACTCGTACAATTAAACCTTTTTCTATTCAATCAAATACTCACAGCAGATGTCAGTTCCAATAGAATGAATATGGAAACGGATCCTTTGTCGTAACTCAACTGTGAAGACTGAAGATGGTACATAAACGTTCTGCATTCGTTAGGATTTTGGAAGATGCACAACGTTAGTTGAAATAAATCTAGACTGTCCCTGTTCACCAAGGCTCAGTGTCCTATGAACATATATTTGCAGAAAGTAAATCTAAACAAGAGAGAACTGTTTGACTCATTTTTTGTCGATATGCTTTTTATTATTTAACAATCTTTTATTATGTTGTGGAATGATATACATTATCCATTTTTATCTTCTTTGTTGCCAGCTTCGTGAGTCAAAAGGATTCCCAACAATAAGATTTCGACCTCATTGTGGGGAGGTTTGTCTTCAGTTTGGTTCAAATTATACATTTACTTGCGTTGTGACTTGTGATATAGGCTAATGCTTTTTTCACACGTATTCGTGCAGGCAGGGGACATTGACCATTTAGCTGCTGGATTTCTTTTGTGTCATAACATTGCACATGGAATCAATTTGCGCAAATCACCTGTCTTGCAGTATCTGTTCTTTCTCGCTCAGGTTTGTTTTTTGTCTATGGTACAGATAATCAAATATGCTGACATGCTGTCTAGAATCCTCCCTTTTTCCAGACAAAGCATAATAATGGGATAGTATCATTGATCCATGTATTTTTTTTCCAATTCACATGATGTTTCAGATTGGACTGGCAATGTCTCCTCTAAGTAACAATTCACTTTTCCTGGACTACCATCGCAATCCCTTCCTTATGTTCTTCCACCGTGGGTTGAATGTTTCCCTTTCAACTGATGATCCTTTGCAAATTCATCTGACAAAAGAGCCCCTAGTGGAAGAATACAGTGTTGCAGCTAAGGTCAGGCTTATATCTTATGCTACTTCCATCCTAGTGTTCGTCCAGATTGACTTTTTGCAGTAAAACTTGAATTTTGATCATTAATTAAATAAAAATTGCATTACATTATTACATATTACTAGAAAATTGATTTAATTAGATTTATCTTGTAAATATATTCCAAAATTTATTCTATTTTATTGTTATACAATAAAATATTTATTTAGTTAATGATCAAAATTTATTGAGTTTGAGTGCAAACAAGTAAAAAAGGACAAACGTTCTGGAATGGAGGTAGTATATTTTTTCTGTCAAAAGAGAACATCAATGTGTTTCCTTGCTGAGTTATGCTATTTTTTCCAGGTTTGTGAGATAGCGAGGAATTCTGTTTACCAGTCTGGATTTTCTCATGCTGACAAGGTATGTGTACTTCTCCAGATTTTGTAAGGGCTGGTCTCGTTTGTTCGTTCACTATATTGGATGAATAATCTCATGATTTTTTTAAAAAGAAGCCTTTGATAACATCGTTATTAGCCAAATACTCCGTAACTGAAATAGGCAAAGTAAGATGTTACTTATTCTAAGTATCGTGCCAAAAAGAAGATTAAGCAAATTATGGCCCCCAAATGGAGCCTAAAAGTCCTCGCATAGCCTCCTCCCTACCCCTCTCCTGTCGCTTTCAATTTGGGCTAATACTTTTGCCCATAATAAAACTGGTGCATTTTGGCAAACACTGCAGTTGCATTGGCTTGGGAACAAATATTTCAAGAGAGGCCCGGAAGGGAATGACATTCACAAGACAAATGTACCAAACATGAGGATTTCCTTTAGACATGATGTGAGTGTTCTACCTTTTTTTGTTTGGTGTAACTATATGTGGTTTTGTCGTATAATAACGTGTAATGTGACATATGTTAATGGGAGGTGCATGGGGCACCAGCACCGCTCAAGTTGTCAGCAACTTTAAGGTCGGGTCCATTTGGAATCCGGAAAATACGTTAGAATAAAACAGGAAAGGAACCATGAGGAAAATAAATAGGCTATAACTCAATGAATTTATACTAGATATTTGTGTATATTCATTTTATTTACTGCTATACAAACATAACCTTAGAATAGGGGATGGACTCAGCGTATTAACTCTAACATACCGACAACTCAGATTGGATATGGAGTAATTCATCCCCACACATCCGATCTAGAGTGTTGGCAGCGTAACTCTTAACTCTCTCGGATCCAAATGGGCACCTATAACTTTGGGGATATTTTTGCAGACATGGATGGAGGAAATGCTGTATGTGTATAGAGGTAAAGCCAGCATTTGTGAAGAAATAGATTACTGATTGAAGAATGCCCCTGCACTTTACCAGTAAGCACTATCTTTGCATGTTCTCTTTTGGAGCCAAATTTTGTCATTGCTTTTAGAAAGGCAGAAAGCGTTTTGCCACAAACTTCTCTTCATTTTAAAAATAATCTTGTTACTAGTCTTGTTACCAACCACCATATGGGGTTGTGTAAAAGTGATTTTGTACATCCACACCTGTTCAAATGACTGTTGTGAACATCCGTAAAAGTGGCGGTGGTCACCGTAGCCACTTTTTCACAACCATGTGTGGTACCACATCACAAAAAATATCCTAATAGTAAATACTCAACATTTAATGAGTAGAGTGTAATTACTGTGCAGCATATGTGGATAAGCTTTGCATGTCTTTGTCTTCTCCTATATCAGCTGTTGATGCCATTGTTGCAGGCCCCCTAGGCTTCCCTGTTATCTTCATCCAATTTACCATCTCCAAAGTCGCATTATAAAAAAAGATGGTCGATGGATTCAGGAAATGCTCGACACAATGTACACCTGTTACCATCCATACCTGAGTAAACTTGGCTAATCTTTCCCGTAATGCATCAAGAGCCAGAGAATGAATTTGTGTTTAAGGACAACAACCCTGTGCCAAATCAGAGCACTCCATTGGAAGGTATTATGCTTTCCCTGGAGCATCATTGTTTCCTCCAATACCAACAAATGTCCTAACCTGGTTGGTAATCCCAAATAAACTTGCCCTTATTCAAGGTTGGTATGTGCTCATCTTACCCAAAGAGTATTCTCTTGTCCATGTTAATGTCTCAAAGATGTTTTGCAAGAAGGGCCTTATTCAGATTTTTATAGTCCAAACCCCCCTCTGATTTGGGAGCACAAACAGTTCCCCAGCTTATGGGTGGCCTTGTTTCATAAATATCTGGTCCTCCCCAAACAAAATTCCAGCAAACTTGTTCCACTTTTGAAAATTCTGTTGGGGAAGCGCAAAATACTGAAGCCCAGAAGGTAAATTAATGTCTACTTCTCCAACATCTAAATAAAGTATGCTGTTTTACATGACAATGTCTTAGCTATATGTTTTGAATTTTGATTGTTTTATTTTTAATAAAAAATATTTTCACCAGCGACGATAAGAGTTATACGAATTATTGCCAGTCTACATATGGAGTATGAGTTATTGTATAACACAGTTTCTAAATGGAACTACAGTTTGAGCAACTTTTATAGTTGGTCAAATTTGAAAGAAGAGTTATGTGTAATGTTACATAAGTAGGAATTACAGAGAATGAGTCAAATTTAATTAGGGGACAAAGAATGAAAAATTCAATGGGCGGAGGGAGACATGAGTCCATATTGTGGGTTGATATTATGCATTTATCCCCCCACCACCCAGAAGAATATTTAATTTTAAGTTGCATTCTTTTAAAAAAAGAAGAATATTTTACTAAAGCAAACCATTGATTTTGTAAATGTTTTTTTAATGTGTCCATTTCATAAAATAAAGTAACAAATTCTTAGAACCTTTTCTGAAGAAGTCTTGTCGTACAACACCCCTTCTTTGTTCACACACTGTAATGCATTGCATGCCCGGAAGTACGAAGTAATACTTCTAAGTTTTTTTAAAAGAATTTATTTTATTTAAAAATCAGTAAATACTGCGCAAATATGTACTCCCTCCGTCCCTAAATAGATTACAATTTTTTTCTTCTCTAGATAATTTTTGTTTGTTTACGCGATTTTATTAAGTATTTGATAAAATAAAATATTCTCGTCACATCTTGTTTTGTAGTACTTTTGGCGTAGTTTTTTAGTATGTAATTTTTATATCTTATTGATAATACCAATTTGTAAATAAAATAATTTCAAAAATTAGAATATTTTACTCCGTAACCCGCAATTTGTAATCAAGTTGGGGATGGAGTGAGTATTTAGATTAATAGAAAGTTATAGTGATGTACTCTACCATAACATTCTTTATGTGGTGTATAAAACGAGTTTGGGACATAGTTTTTTGCCTTAATTTCAATGGAGAAATACATAATTATGATTAAATAATAATTCTTACTCCAAAATAAGAAATTTTTATACTCCCCTATCCTTAAATAAACTTCCTTTTTTGATTTTTTGAGGATTTATGGGAGGAATATTTTTGTATTGACTTTCCAAAAATACCTTTGATGTGATGTATAAAAATAAGATGTGATATGTAGATTATTAGTAAAAAGGCATGATCTGATAGGTAGGGTATGAAAAAGTAAGGGGTAAAAGGGAGTTTTAAGGGAAAAAAGAAATTTATTTAAAAAAAACAAAAGAGGAAATTTATTTGGGGACGGAAGGAATATCAAGATAGAATTTATAATGCCAAATAATATGGACTACCTAATGCCAAATTTTACACATATTATTCTTATTGAGTCAATAACACTTAAAAATGAGGTATTGTAGCTAGTCTCAAGCCCAGAGTCCGAGGTTGGAGTACATGGGCAATTCTAAGTACTAAATTTAAGCATTTACTAAATTTAAATATTACTTCCCATGTCCAATTTAAATGACATGTTTCGTCTTATTTATGATGTTAGACTCAACTTATTTTTAATAGATTTTATTTTAGAATTGGGCTAAAATTAAAAAAAAGTTAGATATTTAAAAATTACATAAAAAGTTCTACGAAATAAGAGATGCGTGATTTTATTATTTTATCAAGCAAGAAGCGAAAATAAGATAAGAAAAAGTAAAAAATATCAACCCGATATATAATAAACAAACAATTGAATTTGAGACAGATAATAAGGAGTATAAAGTTAGAAAAAAGAAATAGATTCTCTTTCTAGCATATATGCCCCCACCGCTAGATGAGACGGGTATATATATACACACATTTAGAGAGAGCGGAAAGCTTATTGGCGTCCCATAAATAAAGTTCCAACACACACTATCCAATTAAAGCTAATTCATTAATTACTTACTTCGTTAATTATATAATTAATGGGGAGCGGGTTCTCTAATCCATCGTCATCTCCCGGGGCCTCGTTTGGGGCATTGCGCAGGACAGGGAGCTATCCGTATGGATCACCAGCACCATCGCCAAACAAACCTTTACTCAACACTACTATTACTCCGCCGCCCCTTCTCCCGTCCGCCACACCAAACAAGCCCTTAGTCACTGCCTTTCACTCTTCCGTCCAATGGAAAATCCACTCCGAGGCCTCAAAGAAAACCAACAAATTGGTACCTACCTACTTTACGTTCAATTCCTAATATAATTACTTAAATCATCTCCCCCCCCACACACTCCCTGAGTCTCTAAAAACACAAGAGGTTTTGATTTTTAAAGATTGCAAGAAGAGTGTATTATTTTGGTATTGAGTTTTCAAAAATGTCTTTGATGTGATGAGTAAAAGTAAGGTTTCATGAGTAGGTTAATAGTGAATATATAGATGTGATGTGATAGGTATATTCAGAGTTAGTATGTTCATACGTGACTTTTTAATAGAAATAAAAAAAATTTGGGACGGATGATGAAAAAAGAAATTATAAAGGTTTTCATGGACGGAGGGGTATATACTAACTCTGTCGCCGGAAATTTTTCTTGTTTTGATATTTTTGGGTCAAACGATGAGATTAATTTTGTAGATAACAGAGGAAGAATGTAAGCCACAAAAAAGTGAAATTGTGTAGTTGAAAATGATGCAGATAACAGAGGAAAAATGTAAGCCACAAAAAGTTTTCTAAAAAGGAATGTTGAGGATTAATTTGTTAGAGTCCAAAAAAGAAATAAGAAAGATAGATTAATTTGGAACGGAGAGAGTATTTAATTTTTTAGGAAAATATTTGTCCACGTTAATTCAAACTCTAAGGTGTGTAAAAACCCACATAAATTTATTAGTACCATACTCTTTTTTCTTTGCATTTTTATTATTTAATTGTTTGGGTGATTTTAATTGGGAAATGTACATATACAGATGGTTATAGACTTCACAGCAACATGGTGTGGACCTTGCAAGACAATGGAACAACCTATCAATGAACTTGCTTCTCAATTCAGAGATGTCGACTTTGTCAAGATTGACGTCGATGAACTCATCGTACGTATGCATAAACATATATCGCCGTCGTATGTTATAAAAAAAATAATCAAGTCACATCGAGTTTTGTAGAACGTTTGATAAATATATACTCCTTCCGTCCCAAAAACTCTTTCACCTTTTTTTTCTTGTCCCACAAAATCCTTCTCTTTTCTATTAAAAAACAACTTTTACCCTACTAATTCTTAACCCACCTTTTTACTAGTAATCTATCCATCACATCATACTTTTATCAATCACATCAAGAGTATTTTTGGAAAGTCAATGTAAAAATATCATTCTCTTAAATCTTCTAAAAGTCAAAAGGAGAACATATTTATGGGACGAAAGGAGTAATATTCAAATATGTAAATATGTAACGTGTTTGATATATATATATATGTGTGTGTGTGTGTATACACATACAGGATGTGGCTGAAGAGTTTAAGGTGAAGTGCATGCCAACATTCGTCCTGATGAAGAGTGGGAAAGTGGTGGATATGGTTGTGGGAGCAAAGAAAGATGAACTCCGCGACAAAATTCTCAAACACAGAAACTAATTACAATTACTATATGCATGAAGAACGCGTAATAACTTGCAGTGGAGCATATAATAAGAATAATACATGAAGGCCTTGGGCAAAATTAAAAACAGTAGTACTGTATTTTATAGTTGTCGTGATTTAAACTGGACGAGAATACACTGAGACAGAAGGAGTATCAATAATTGTACCTCGGAGTATTTGTTACCTTGCCATATATATGAAAACGTATGGTAAAATAGTTTACATTAAAATTGTTACCAAATTATTTGTTTCAATTTTACTTTTATGTTAACTTTGATCACAAATTACATAAAATATATCCTATGCGTTGGTGTAAACACTTGTTGGTTGTGAAGGTGAAGACACGCCTTCCCATGTTTGGTCATTTTGTATGAGACATCTTCTAGCGTGCAATGAAACCACCTGTCCCAAAGCCAACAAGAGGGGAAACCCTGTTGTAAATATCTGATACAACAAATACTCCTTTAAAATAAGGGAAAAGACCAAAGTAAGACTAAAACAAGATATATATCTGTGTGTGTGTCTATATATACTCAGATTGCATCCTGCACTCAGATTTTGAGATAGTGCATTTTTAAAGGATTTTGGTGCATTTCGACATGATGCATTTTCAAATCATTTTGGTGCACCTAATTTTGATGCAATCCTGATCCTTAGATTTCACAATCTAAAGCACCAGATTCATTCTTATTTCTTTCATAAGATCACATTCTTACCTGAACCAAAATCTATATATATATATGCCTTAAAGTTTTTCAGAAAATTTGGTATTAAAATAAACTTTGTTGAGTAACATTCAATTCCTCAAATATACTCCCTCCGTCCCAAAAAGTTTGTTACGTTTAGAAAAAACTCTATCCCGTAAAGTTCGTTACATTTCTATTAAAAAACCACTTTTACCCCTTACTTTTTCATACCCTACCTATTACATTATACCTTTTGTCTAATAATCTACCCATCACATCCTACTTTTAGTCATCACATCAAGGGTATTTTTGGAAAATTAATACCAAAATATCTCTCCCTTAATTTCCCAAAAAGTCAAACCGTCCCATTCTTTTTGGGACGGAGGGAGTATTATTTATTCAACTTTGGCATTTTGTCTATTGTATTTAAAATCGGGAAAATTTACCTAAATAGGACAAAAACATAGAAAAAAAGTATAAAATATGACTTTCATGTTTTTCCTCCGAAATAGGACTTTGCATTGTGGTAATGTGGCACTGTACATGTGCACATTACTATATTTTTTGGTAATGAACATGTGCATGTTTGGTAATGTAATTCCTATTTTGAGAATAAAAACATAGAAGTCCTATTTTGGTATATTTTCAATGTTTTAGTTCTACCTTGGTCTTTCTCCCTATTAAGTACTATTTCGGGAAAAAAATTAGTCATATATTGGGAAATGACTTATGTTTTAGTCTTATTTAGTAGTACAAATTTCACTTAAAATTATGTGAGAAATATATTTTTTTTACTACAGAAAAATATTGAATTGAAAAAGTTTGAGAATTGATAAAAACTTCATTCGACTATGTGCATGGCACGAGTAAAAATAATAATTGTAATAATATTATTGTAATAATGTAGGGAGTAGGGACATACAGTCTACTCAAAAACAAAAGAAAGAACACACCAATATAATAGAGACAATTGAAATGAAACCCGAAGGAGAAGAAAGGCAACATAATGGGAAAATCAGACCGGCAAGCAAAGCCAATTGGATTTCCGGGCCCCTTTCAAAATCTCAGACAACCCCTTGGCAAACTCCACCAGCTCCTCTGCCGGCGGCAGGACGCCTCTGACGGCATCCTCGGCGGCGAAATCCTCCGCCCATCGGGACAAACTCGGACTCCCCTCAAAACAAAACCCGACGCCGCCGTTACACGCCGCCTCCACCGCCTTGAACCAACCCACGAGGCTTCCCAGAGCAATGTCCAGCCACCCAATCCTCTCCCCCCCAAAGAATTTATTATTGCCTTTCCTCTTTATTAGACACAGTACATCTTCCAATGGAGATATCTTTTCCGCAAGCTTCTTCATTTCCTCTTTCTTGTCTCTCTCGTGCGTTGCAAAGCATAAGCCGTGGAAAATTGGGAATATCTGGAATCCATTAATCCACACCATATGAAAGCTAACGTTCTAAAATGATATTTCTAAAATGATATTTCTAGTCACTATTTACATGGTCAAACTTTAATCACTTTCTTTACATGTATTCATTAATTATTTGATAAAATAATATAGTCATGTCACCTCTTGTTTTATAGAACTTTTAAGGTAATTCTAAAATACATACTCCCTCCAACCCAGAAAGAGAGAGACATTTGACTAAAGTGACAAAATAAGGTAGGAATACTTTTGTGTTGACTTTCCAATAATACCCTTGATAGGATGGGTAAATATATGATGTGATGTGTAGATTATTAGAAAAAAGTATGTTGTGATATGTAAGGTATGAAAAGGTAAGGGGTAAAAGTTGTTTTTTAATAGAAATGCGGAGATTGTGGGACACCGTTTTTTTTTGAAACGTGAAGGACTTTTTAGGACGGTGGGAGTAATTTTTATTTCTTAATTTTACACCTATAATCAAATAAATTAAATTGAAAATAATTTCGATCAAATCTCATAAGCTAAACTGGAAAAATCATTATAGGACGGTGAGAGTAAAAGGAGAGAAAACAAAATCCCACCAATTTTGGTAAGAAAAAGAAAAAAAATCATTTTCTTTAAAGAAAATATGTAACAACAAGAATACCTCATGGTCAATATAGCGGGACCAAAAGAGGGCGGTGGCACGGTGGTAAGGATCTGAGGGAAAGATGGACGACGGAGGCGGCGGAGGAGAAGAAGAAGAAGAAGAGGACCAGACGTCGTCGATGTACTGTGCGATGACGGCGGATTCCGGGATGGGGCGGTGGTTGTGGATGAGGACGGGCACTTTCCTGTAAACCGGGTTGGATTCGAGGAGGAGCTCGCTCTTGGGAAACATTGGTTCCTCAATGAACTCATACTCCACCGACTTTAGGTTCAGAGCTATCCGGACTCGGAGCACGAACGGGCTCCACCACGTCCCCAACAACTTCACGGTGTCGGCGGTCGCCATCGCCGCCCGCCGGAGTTCAGAAGATTCGCACACTGAAAGAAGAAGAAGAAATGGATAAGGTGGGGGTTTAATTTGAAGTGAGAAAAACAGAGGGGTTTGTGGGATGTATTTATACGCGCGCGTATACTAACAGAATATACGGCGTAACGCGGGGAGGAGTATGTATGTATGTACGTATAGAGGTCAAAGTCAACATAAGGCTGGTTGAGTTCCCACAGTGGTGGACGCACTCAGTGACGCAATCCC